TTTTCGCTTATGTATTTTAATTCTTCTTCATAAGAGGACATTAAATTTTAAGATTTCAAATAAGTGAGTAAGTGAGATGAAAATGAACAGCATCAGCTTATGATTCATATATGATATTATTTAAAAAATAGCAGCTCTTTTGGATCACAGCGAATTGGACTGCATGTTTTACAAATATATTGTAGATTTTCAGAAATATTTTCACTATGATAAAGGAAAAAAGATTTAGAAGTGTGTAATTTTACCGAAAAAATTGTTAACTCATATCAATGATTTCATATAAAACCTTTCAGTTAAAAGAAAAAAAAAGAAACTGATAAAAAACAAAAACTCAACAATGTTATCAAATGACTGATAGTGAATATTGTGAGCTTCAAAATTCGTATCATTTCATCAAAGTAATATTATTCATTTCATCCTTATTTTAATTTATAGCTGGAATATTTGCTATAATACTTACTGAATTGAATGAATGCTATATTTAAAATATCCCGATCAATTTTGCAAAAGTGAAAGTTGAGAAATAACGATCTAAACAAAGAGTGTCTAACATAGGTCCAGTAATCGGTAATTTTTTTTTTGCTCATTCTTTTCTTTTTTCCTTTTTTTTTTTTGGAAGCAATTTTTTTCTACTGTCACATTCCCAATATGGAAGTTTTTGTGATGCACGATACGGTAGAGAAAAAAACTGAGAATGTTGTTCGCCGCAAGAAATGAGAATAAGGGAACAGATAAGAGCTAAGGGGAATGATGAATGGAAAAGAAGAAAGAATGAAATCCTTCCTTAAAGTTATCTTTCTTTTAGGGATTTAATATGAAAATTGGTTACATTAGACATTGAACTAATAGATTATTTGTAAGGCAATCATTTATCCAAATAATTTGTACATATGGCCGCAATCTGTTGCTTTGTTTCTGATTGATATTAAATTGTGATTGCTGTTGTTGTTTGTTTGTTGTTGACGTTACTTAACCAGTATTTAGAAACAAAACAGACAAACTTTTTCCCTCTTCCATCCTCTCTTTCTCTCTTCCTTTCTTTATAATGCAAATATCCTTCTTAACATAACAAACACCGTAGAGGTAATCTAATTTACGTTAAATATTTGGTTAAATGTTTCAGAATGAAAGGCAAGACGGTACTCAGGATGTTTGAAAAAGCATGATGTGAAGAATAAACTATTCGGTGACAATACCTGATCGATCTAAATCACAAATATTATTAAAATTTTACACATAAACTGTTTGTTAATAGGAAGGTAAATAACAAAGATTTACCATTCACTTTACTATTCACGATGACAAACATTTACCATTCACCTTACTATTCACAATGTGTGTGTGTGTGTGTGTGTGTGTGTGTGTGTGTGTGTGTGTGTGTGTGTGTGTGTGTGCATGTGTGTGTATGTGTGTGGTAGCATTAGGAAGCAATGATGGCTTGAAGATTATGGTAATCAGGCTACTGATATAAAATCAGAATAAATATAAAGATCTACAATGATATACAAATTATTTCAAACCAGGATTCATATAACTCTATGTGCATGATATAACCTATGAAGTTATTTTATTAGTACTGCTACTTAGCCAATGAAGCACATAACACATTCACAACTTAACACAAAACAAACTAGAAACAATGTATTGATTCTTCTATATGCCAACACTACCGCATCTTTTAAAATTGAACCCAAAAATAAATAAAAATCATAGACGTTAACAGTAAATGTTGGCATGTATCGAATTCATGTTATCCTACTTTCCCTAATAGAAATTAAGAAAAAAGAGTTTTTCAGGATGCAAAGCTAAAACATCTGGCAAACAAACGAATCCGGAAAGCTTTAGACAAAAATAAAAAAAAATATGAAATATTTTAGTCTGAATGTTGCTTATCCACCCGTCATCTGCTTTCTGTTGCTATCACATTCAAAGATACAAGAAGAATAAATAACGGGGGCAAATATAAAACAATTAACAAAAAATCGAAGACGTATCCATAAATCAATTTGTTGCAAAGCAAAAATATAAATATTCTAAATAGCACCCTAATCTAAACAAAGATTTCGTGTGGAATAAATTTTGAACCAATTTGACAATAAAAAGCTAAAATAATGTCTCGAAATTTGAATCCAGATAACAAACTAATCATAGAAATCAGGAGACATCCGTAGAATGCCAGTGTATGAATATATAAGATATAATGTGGATTTACACGGGAACACATGAAAATGGGTGGCAGTACTGCCATAAATTAAAACAAGAAACTCTACTGATGTAAAAATCATCTACCTTTGGATGGAATATACTTTCATAAATACATGCATAAAGACCTCAGCAGTTATGATTGCAATACTATAGACTGAGAAGAATTCAAAATCGCTTAGAAGGGAAGCTTTGCACAATTAACCGGAAACGTGCCTACAGAAGAAATTGGATCAAAAATTTATGACCAGAACATTAAGAACTTAAAACAAAAAAATTCTGCCAGCATTTTAATAATAGCAAATCCAAGTGGCATCTTTTCAAATTTTATCAATACTTGTAATCTAAAAATTACAGCTACTTAACTCAAGAATAAAGATCGAATCCTTTGAATAACACACTAGCGCACTAGCGCATGTTATATGGCACAGTGAGGTAAATTAATTCAAAAAATAAATATCTCGTCTTTTTTTCGCAACGATGACAGTGTGCACTAAATAAATGTATTAAATGAGCACTGGAAGCTACTACTATGGAATTCATAATACATAAAATTATGAAAATATTACTTGCAAAACTCAACTCTCCGTCCCTCATTCAAATAAAATGACCAAGCATTACCATTATTACATACGTGAAGCCCACAATGGTACAAACAGAGTAGATGAAAAAGAAATAGGATAAATTAGATAAAGATACTGAGTATATTCGGAAAGATTAAGTCATGTTCCCATAGCTCCTTCAAAGTATCGGAATTCTTCAGCTCAAAGTGCCAATTTTTCAGCTACTGCTGCAACTATAGCAGCACCTTTAGCGCTACCCTCATCCGCTGGTACCAACTCCCACTGAAACAGTACTAATATTATAACACATACGTAAAACCGTGAAGCAATGCTGGAGACACCTGCATGCAATGAAAGATGTTTTTCATCCAACATTATTTTTAAAACTGGTTGATTATAAACAAGTTAAAGCGAAATTCTCAAATGAACAAACCTTGATATTTACAGGAGCCAAATCATGCAGTTTGTTCTCCAGCAATGAGAGATAGGTTGGATGAAACTGTACCAATGCACCACCTACTCCTATTTTTATGCTACTTTGACCAATGTGACGCAATAATGCTGCTATCGCTGAAAATTTATTCGTATGAAAACGTACTGTTTGTGGCATTGTTCTAAACTGTATCTTTTTGTTTTTAAAAAAAGGTTATATTCGTTTTTAGGTTTTTTGGCACTATTTTTAACTCTTTTCACTCGTATAAGATTTACTTCCGATTAAGATTGTTCTAAAACCAGCTATTATTTGATCACAAGTACATATATCCATAAAAATCTCAAAAATTCATCTGAGTGCAAATTCTAACACAGAACATGAGAAAGTAATATCAAACCAGCAGCAACAATAGCAGCAGATCTCTGAGATACCGCGTGGCAGACTTCGTGGATGATCTCATAATCAGCTGTACAGTGACTAGGAGCGTCAAGTTCATCGCATATCCGTCGACAAATTTTAAAACTCCCTTCCTCATCTCTGAAAATCCATTCATATACAAAGAATAACCACAATATCATTTAAACTAAAATGCGGATCCTTTAAGGATCTATTTTGGTACTACTTTGCAGTGTTTATAGCGGTGGTCAGAAATTTTTTCCAGTGCTCCATCTACTGCTATTCCGTTTCCTGAAACGTAAACAGCATTTTTAGACTCTAACAACAGTCAGAACTATTGAGAATACAAAAAAACTTTGCATTCTTTTGTAAGCTAAAAACAATATCCCAGATTTTTACTTCATGGCAGAATAACAAAAAATATGTTTGCAAAAAAATGCCTCAAAATTTCAGAAATGTATTTCGTTGGGAAGGAATCCACTTCATCCAGTTTTTCACAACATTTTCCGCTGAACAAATGACCGTCTAATGCAAACTGCATGAGAATACGGCGTGCTAACTCGCCTAGGTATAATGCTCCAGTTAGCTTATCAATCCTGCAAATAAATAGTGCTTAACTAAATTCCGGCTTTTTCTCCTGAAATCTCTTGAAAAATATAAATAAACATAAACCATGAAGATTTACAAGCTCAGTTACTAGTTGAATCTTTATGCTGTTTAATGCTTCAATGTTTAAAATCTCATTTACACTACTTAAAGTAATGAACAGACTCATTCTGTTTATTTCACAATAACAATGCTTACATTTGTTTGCCTTTATGTACCGATGCTTCATCAATATCGCGATCGAACTGCGTTAAAATAGATGCTAATTCACCCTGTAACATTCATTCAATTCTTAGTGTTAACTGCTCCAATCATTACTATTACAACAAAACTTTTTAATGCTTTGAAAGTCACAACAGGATACTAAAATGTAAAATAAGCTTTAGCATCTCGTCTAATATCATTTCTCAAACGATATTCGATACCATTATTGTTCTAAGATAGAAATCTGAAGTCTTACCTTTTCACCAAATTCTTCCCATTCAGTAACAACCACCATCTTGTCAAATTTATATCCAGATGCAGCAGCATTGAATTTCTTGATTCTTGCAGTATTTTCCAAATATGATGAATTACAACTGAAAATTAAAAAATGTACACAATTCTGTTTTTTTTTTTTTCATTTCCACCTCTATTCTTCTTTTGAGGATTCAAACAAATTGGACATGAAAAATCATTTGTGTTCATTCTTGTAGTAATAACGAAAGCACTATTTGTTGTTAATAACTTTTCCATGTTTACGAACAACAGTAAAACAAGAACAAAGAAAAAAAAAATTACCCGTATCCAATGACAACACCAACGATACATTCTGGACCGTACTTGTAAGCAGTCGCAGCTAACTGACCTACAGTGTCATTCATTACCACTTCAATTTTCACATTTGTTAGCTGAAAATGAAGTTTGATAGTTTTTAATAAAAGAAATTATTTCCGACATTACTACATTGGAAAATGGATAATTAAAACTAAAAGATCCCACAAAGCTGTGGAAGAGACAAACCATGTTTAATTCGAGAGCTTCTTCCAGAAGTTTGACTACATCTTTTTGTAGGCAGTCCTTTATATCAAAGTCTTTTGTCCACCAAAGTAGTCGCGCTGAGCGTATGGAAAGTAGCTCACACGGGTAGGAGAAAACAAAACCCACTGGGAGTGAAGCATTCAGTAGATTCACTTCGTTGAGAAATTTCATCAGACAGTTGACTATGAATGTGAATAGCTAGAATAAAATAGATGGTTCGAAACACAATCTAAAGAAATCTGCTTGAAAGTGTAGTACAGAGCTATATGTTTGAGGATTTAAGAATATATATGCATAAAATAGTGCAAAATATTAAAAACAAAAAAGATCTAACCTGATCTCCAGTTCCTTTCATAACAGAAGCTGGGAAAACATAATTATGATTAATCTGTTCTGGTTCCTGATTGCTTCCTTTTAACGTTAGCAACATAATACGCAAGTTCCTCCCACTCAGGTCAATTGCAATATATTTACCTACTTCTGAAATTTCAAAAAAATAACCTTTCAGAAAGTTTTTTTAAAATATATATCACCTTGCAGAATTACCAACCAACCATTTCCATCTGGTAAAGCAGGGACGAAAGAGGGTAACATTGCAATCGATGATTTCGAAGCACCAAATTCGAGACCTTGAACAAGTTCATCCTGTATTTTTTCACTAATTTCATGCAATATTCCATCCTGTAAATAAAATACATCTTTAATATGATAATCATTAAATTTGTTGGAATTTTTTTTTCTCTCACAAAAACAATTCGAAAAAAATAGTAAAGTTGGGCTTTTAAAAAAAGTACTATTAATGAATGATACCAAGAAGCAAAAATACTTCTTTTAAATTAACAATTGTCTTCTTACTATCCTGACGTCTTATACATGATAAAGTAGCCGACGACAACTTAAAAAAAATGAGGCTTCTGCTACTTTAACCCCTTTAAAAATTTACTCTGATGTCAAAAGCATTACGATCAGTTGCAGACATATTAGCAGTACAACAAGGGAAATGACCAAATTGTCAATGATTTGATAAGTTTGACGAAACAACTTAACCGTCAAACCGTCGAAAGAATAACATTTTGACCTTTGTCGAACTACGGATGATGCGTGGTAGTGTTCACTGTATTTACATCATCAATAAAAGATGCACTGGACTAAATAACTTGGAAGACTTCACGCACGATCAGATAGAACGTGCAGCGGGAAAAGGGCCTAACTACAAAAAAAGACTACAGTATATATGCCAAGCATCAGTGACCAGTCAAATTTGTCAAATTTATATCCTGAATGATAATAACGGTAATCACCAGTAGGATATTATACAGCTAATGTATTTTTATGGCTACCTTCCAATAAAAAGTTATGCGGAAAAGAATATATCAAGTAACTCCCTGATATGTTGAAATAAAACTGATGCGGTTCTGTTTCTGATCATCTTAAAATCAGTGCAGATACTACTTGTCCATTCCTTACCGTAAATGATTCGTGAGAGTTGATTTGCAGATGCTAGTGCGATACGCAAGACAAGAAAAAAAATGCCCATGCTAACAGAAATACAGGTGAAAAATCAAGGAAAAAGTGAAAACAAAGACAGAAAAAGCAAATTCATACCGTAGACAGGTATTTTCTTGAAGTATCAAATTTAAATTGTACAAACCTCAATGTAAAAAAGCTCAAGAGTTTTAGTAACTTCTTCTGGCAATGTCATAACTGTTCGAAACAGCAAAAAATATATCTGAAAATAAATATTGAATTCATAGAAGCAACAACAAACTCGACGTTCACATCGCGATAATGCAATTCACTTCATTTGAAAACTGGATCCTAAATCACATTTAATATGATAACAGATTTATAAATGTTTAATTCGAGTTATCATCCGTATTTGAGCTCTTTTAATACAATATAGTTAGCATCGTTTGCACTTTGTAGGAAAAAATATTGGTAACTAAATTCCAAACTTTAAAATAATGTTCAGTCATCAGAATTGGTGAGATTTAATATAAAAGATATAGGCCTACAGTTCTATTTTTTGTGGCTTCACAAAACGAATTCATATAAATTTGCATGTCAATACGATTGAAGAGGAAATGAAATAACTGATCAGGTAGTAGTTGTCATGCCTTTCTATCTGGAAATGTTGCACCAAAAACCATTTGTTCACGTACTCACATTAATCAACCAAAGTACAATTAAAACAAAAAAAAAACAAGAGTACAGCATGTCAAGATCACCAAAACATGCAGAGGAGAAGGGCTTTAACATCCTGCAATATATCTGTAATACTATGTGCCAAATAATTCGATTATAACTCAGAACTCAGCTATTTCTTAAGCTATCAGCAGTTATTTATTACGACACAAACCATAAGGCGGCAGTGTGGAGAAATATAATTCAAGAATTAATATTCAGAGAAATTTGTATTATTAATTGTAGAAAACCTACAAACTATTAGCAGTGAATTCGATAGAGAGTAATAGATACGCTGAAATTATTGACCACAAGGTTACGAAGTCCTCGAAGTCGGAAATGACCAAAGATGCGTGGAAGATTCGATGCTATATGAAGCTAACAGAAACACCCACCAACGCATCCTGTGTTCACCCCGAAATTCAGGACGTATTAGAAACTTCTGAACCGTATCCCGAACAAATCAAACGACCAACCAAATTCCCGGAACGGACAGCTGCCCTCACAGACTGTTATGGACAACCCATAATCTACCATCCACAAACAACAATATTCATCGACTGAAAGAAGATATTGAAATGATGCCAAAATTTTCACGAGAACACTTCAAAACCCATTTAAAAGAAAGCAGCGCCTTATATCATCCAAAGAACTCAACTATCATTGATGTCGTCGCACCTCGGGAACGATCAAATCTAAAATGCAATATTGCCATTGTTACTAACTAGAATTTTCTGGAATCGAGAAACTAACCTTCCCGATTGACGAGAAGCAGGTAAATAGACGTTCTACTTTTCATTAATTGTATTGCTATTTTACAAAAAAATTTTCTTTATGTGTGCAGAACATTTAGCTGAAACTGTACCATGGAATAGGATAAAGAAGAAAATAATGTAATAAAGGTGAATTAATGATTAACCTGATTAATCAGATAGTGTAAATTTATATATACCGGAATATTTGAGGATAGAAAAATGTAAAAAAAAAGATTCATGGGTGACACGGGAAAGCAAAGATAACAAGTCGTCTGTTTGCTTTCTACCTTCCTACAGGAATATGCTATTACAAATATATGTAAAGGGATGCACTTATACTATATGGAAGGTAAAATGGGAATGATTAAGTCTAAAAAGATATGTGTCGAAGTATTATCATATTGTTCAAAATGACAAATCTGAAAATAGTAGGAGGATAAGGTCGTAAACGTCAGACAAGATTTACTGAATTCCTTTTATGAATTCATTTTTACTCTTATCACATTATAATAAATTTGTCAGAAACATACGTACACACACACACACACACACACGTACACACGCACACACATACACACACATACACATACATATATACAAAGATATAGAGATATTATACATATGTAAATTTGTAAACAAAGCTGGGAATTCATAGGTAAAAGGAAGGAAAGTGTTGTTGATGGATGTTAATTTAAATATAGAATAGTGTAAAATATGTTATTGCTATTCCTGGAGCTAAGAGTCAAATAATCGTTATTTTAATAGTTCATTAATCATTACTTTAATAGGTCATTTAGTATAATGTACCATAATCAAATTTTATGATACACTAGCCTATATTTAAATAATTTTAAGTTTTTTTGATAAATGGAAATTAATGCTGAGATGATAATTAATGAGCATTCATTTATGGATCATATTGTAAATCGACTTTTTTTTAATGGCAAAAAGAATATTAGCGTAAAGTCATTCCTTCTTCTCTTCCATATCGTTCTCGATAATTCACTAGTTCCCGGAAGAATTGATCTTTTAGCCGGATAAAACTCACCTCATCAGCTTGCATTTATTCCAATTCACTGAACGATTGATACAATCACAATCATTACCGATCAATTCCTCAAATCTTCAATTTACCATCATCAATATAATCCTATCATATTGATGATGCTAAATTACCATTTTATATGTTATGCATCAAATGATATTTTCTCATTAATTATCTTGTACGGATATTATCATTCATTCAATTCTTTACATTTTTTTCATTTCATTCTTTTGTTCATTGTATTGCTGGTTTTCCTTCATTAATTCATGCTTTGCAAAGTTAATTAAGATAATTTATTAATGAGGAATATAATTAAAATGAAGCAAATCGTTCTATAATATAGTATTATCTCCTTTTTAATGCTAGCCATATGAGAGATCTCCCTACTTTTAATTGTAATCCCGCCTCTCAAAATCTCTTTTTCGAGAGTCAATCCGATTTATTCCATATCATACTACGATTCTTTTGATTCTTGAACAATCTATTAGATGTTTCAGATGATTAGCTTCAATTGGAAACCACTGTAGCTTGTGTGTTCAGGCTGTGTGTTGAGGTTTTTGAACTGGGCGCTGACCACCACTGACGCTCACTGGAGCCCCACATTGTAAATACTACCACCGGTAAAGCTGCTATTATACCCGACATATAAAATACCTATAATTAGAAATTCTGTGAAAATTAAACTGTAAAAAAAGGGCTACTTTTCAGCAGGAAAGTAAAGAAACAAATTATTTTTTGGAGCTCTTTTAGAGCATACAGTATCCATTTTAATGCCATCTCCTACTACTTTACTCTTATATTGTCAAATTCTGATGTCTAATATTTCAAAAATATTGTTTAATACAGTTTGTCCAAAATTAACCTTGGCCCATTCAGCTTCTGTACCATGCTGTACAATATATTTCGTGAGAAGTTTGTTACCGATGCCAAACCATGCAAC